TTAGAATTAATTAATTAACTTAACTAATTCATTAAAGTTTGGATTTAACCATTCGGTCAAACCTACGACAACAGAATATCCAGTCAAAGCCTAGGTCAAACATGACCTAACCCAAGTCAAAGTCAAACCTGTTCAGTCAATTCACAATCCTCAACAATTCAATTCAAACAATCAATTTAATTCAATTAACCAATTTAGCCAAATTATAGCATAAACACATATAACGATCCAAACCATTAAATCTATTCTGAATGCTATTAACTTCATAGTACGGACCTGGATTATGTCGAAATCGAATCGATAGCTCGAACGGAAGACAAATCAACGAAATCAACCGAACGGGTCAAATCGAGTCAAAGTACGAAATCGACCAATCAATCCGGCGTGGAGGTTAATCTGCCGGTGATATCAACTCGGGGCAGCGGCCGGATGCGGCGACGGTGACGGACGCCGGCGACAGTGGCGGAGCGGCAGCTCGACGGCGATGAGCAGCGACTGGGCGCGCTGCAACCGACAGCGGGGAAGGACGCCGGCAGTGGAGGCGACGGACTTCCGGCGAAGGATGGGCAGCGACTGGCTTCCGGCGACGGCGGCTGGAGGTTCGGGCGTCGGTGGCTGGAGGCTCGGGCGACGCTGCAACTCGGCGGAGCTCGTTTCCGGCGAGGGCGAAACAGCGGCGTCCGGCGTTTGGCAACGTCCTCCGTTTGGCGTGGCGGCGCTGCACCCGTCGGTGATGATGGCGGCGAGGCTGAGGAAGGGCGACACTGGGCAGCGACTGGCGGCGGCGATGAGCGGCGATGAGCGGCGACGCCGGCGGCTGCTCCAATTGTATGGCGGCGACCGGCTGGGCGGCGAAGAAGAAAGAAGAAGAAGAAGAAAGAAGAAAAAGAAGAAAGAAAAAGAAGAAGAAGAAGGAAGAAGAAGAAAAAGGAACGGACGAAGAAGGAGAAGGACGAACGAAGATAAGATAAGGTTTATGTGGTTTAGGTTTATTTAATGGTCCCATTCCAAAAAGGATTGGGCTTCGGACCCAAAATACCTGATTAAATGGTCATAACTTGAGCTCTGTAACTCCGATTCGCGAGCCGTCTGAACCGACGCGATCACAAAAATATTTCCTTTGAGATGACATAAAAGTTGGGCTTAAAATCCAAATTATAATTTCAACCCCTTATTGGGCCCAATTCGTAATCAATTGCTCTAACAATTTAATTAATTCTTTTGGGCCAGATTTCGGGGCGTTACATGTCATCACCCGGGAAGGGTGACCAGTTTCGAATTTTGACGCGGAGGTTTTAAATTCAATTATTAATCTCCCTACGGTAGCATAATCAATATTAAATCAAGCAAGCAATCAGAATCCACTGGGTTCGAAATCCAACATCAATGTGAATAGTATAATGGAAGAAAATTCAAAGGTACCAATCTAAAGTCTAGCACTATTCAAAAGGGAATGGGGGCAGTGGTTCATCCTTGTGGAGCGGGGGAAGCTTCCATGCTGCAGGCTCGAATTTGGGGTCCCTCTTCTGCATAAGTATGTATATGCTCGCCCTCTCCGCTTTCAACCCCATCATGAAGCCGTAGGACCCAATTTCAGTGGTCATTCTTTTACCCTCCGACAATAAAAAGTAGATCAAATAAATGAAAGTATAACTTTTTTGTTACTTGTTTTTTAATTATTGGTGATGTTAGTTGTTGAATTTTTATTTTACACTTATTGGGTCATTTTTTCTTTTTCAAAATGTAGTTTCTCTTGGTTTTCGTAATGTAGTACTCCCCACCACATTCCATATTTTATATTTTAGATTAAAATATTGATATTTACCTTATACTCCCTCCGTTTCTTAAAACCCTTCCTCTTTCATTTTTTTTGTTTTTCTTAAAACACTTCCCTTTTCTATTAAAAAACCACTTTTATCCCTACTTTTTCATACCCTACCTATCACATCATACTTTTTCACTAACAACTAAACCATCACATCTTACTTTTACCCATCACATCAAGGGCAAAATTGGAAAGTCAACTACAATTTAACACTTCCTTATTCTTCCCCAAAGTCAAAAGGGGAATTGTTTTGAGAAACGGAGGTAGTATAAATTTAGATTAAAAAAATATTGCACATAACTATTTTATCCACAATTTTTTAAATAGTTTCCTAATTTTTTATGTAGATTAATATACAAAAAAAATAGTATTATTCATATTAAAAAGTTGAAGAAAAAATAATAATGAAGGTGTATCTTAAACTATAGTTATGAAAATAATAGTTGTAATAATAATAATATATTTTTTTAGAATGATTTGTGAGAAAGTAGAAAGAATTTGAAGAAATTGGAAAAAACTGGAAGAAACTGAAAAGAATTGGAAGAAACTAGAAAGAAATATAAGAAGCTAGAAAGAAGTGCAAGTTGATCTAAAATTAATCATACCAACCAAATACCAACCTTTTTCAAATCCCACTCTCTTTTGGAACAATCTCCCGTCTTGGAGGGACTAGGTAGGGCCTGGTACGGAGTGAGGAGGCAAGCAATTTTTGTTACAGTGGCATTTTTCTGAAGGACTTTCAAGTTCCAGTCACATTTAGGACGTTGAGCGCGATTAATTTGAAGAGCGACATAGAAGTTTGGCTTTCCGATGAGTCCATTAGGGTTCAAGTCGGTGGTGTACCACGGAGATGCGCGTTTAGGGGACCTGGATATAGTACAATTGAAGGATCGAAATTTCCAGTTCCCGAGTAATGAGATACACATCCACCACATATCTCCTAACAGTGAAAGATGCCATCCTTTAGCTGTTTTGCAAACAATTTCTGCCCCTGTTCGCTGCAAGCTGGAGCCAGTCTCCGATTCAGCCTTCACTGCTACCGATCAGTCTCCATTGATCAATCTCCATGCATCGTGCTTCTATGAACTGAAGGTTGTACATTCACTTAAGGGCAACTATTCTGAATAATTTATATTTAGAAGTGTTAATTGGTGTTTTTTGGAAGCAATGCTTTAATTTTCTAATATTTGATGGCTTGGAATTGTGTTGCCTTAATAGATAAACATATGCTCATTGTTAATTGCATAGAATTCTATATGTTGGAAGCAATGCTGTAATTTTCGAATAAGTGCTGGCTTGTAATTGTTCATAAATGATAGAAATGTTGATAGAGTGGAAAGTGATTTTTGCAATGTGAATTTGGCCAGTTTTGAAGTCAATACCATTACTATTGTTTTGGCCACCTCTTCAGTTAGAGACGCATAACTTCTCTTTTTTGCATTGGTCTCTCGTGTTTCTTATTTTGAAAGTATGCCTAAATTACGGTGAATTTTCTGAATGTTTTGAAATTGTAGTATATGCTGGACTGCAAGTGGCTTCCAGTTTTCTCTCTGTATATGAGTGTGTCTGTGTATTGGCATTTACATTTTGCGTTATATTGAAGCAATGTGCCTGAAGTAGCATTTAAGAATTGAAACGTATGATGACTGATTACTTGTATATTCTAGTTAACTGGGCTTCTTGTACTTAGAATTCTTTTCTTTGTTTGGTTCAGACAGCAGTTGTTATAATAGGGGATGAGGAATTGCACTTAGTGGCAATGCCAAGTAAGCAGAAGAAATTTCCATGTTTCTGGTGCTTCTCCGTTCCATCTGGTGTATATGGTGCATGTTTGGCGATGTTGAATATGAGGTGTTTGGCTATTGTGTTTGATCTTGATGAGACATTGATTGTTGCAAATACAATGAAGTCTTTTGAGGATAGAATTGAAGCTTTGCGGGCTTGGATTGCAAGAGAGATGGATCCAGTCAGAGTGTCAGGAATGTCTGCAGAGATGAAGAGGTATGCTGAGGATAGGGAAATGTTAATGCAGTACGCAGAGGGTGATTGTGTTTTGGATGGTGGAAAAACATACAACTCACAGCAAGAGGAGGTGCTCCAGTTATCTGATAAGCATGAATGTGTTATTCGACCAGTCATAAGATTAGAGGAAAAGAATATCGTCCTTACACGAATCAATCCAGAGGTTAAAAGAAATGAACACAGATTGTGCTTCTGATTCTATAAGATTTACTCTTCCGATATCTCTATTATCTATGTTGGTTTTACTTCATTGTCTTTCATAAATAAATAAATACACCCTCCATCCATATAAACAAATATTAATCACAATCTTTTCACCTTTTAAACAACTTTCTTAAACCCCATGAAAGCGTAAACTTTATTGCGGGAAAGAGGGAGTATATGTATATATATGTGCATGTGTGTCTGTGTGTGCATAATTCACAGGAAATGCACCCCCCCTGAGAGTCAATGATTGCCCACAATGGAGAAGATATATAGTTTGGCTAAGACACAATAGTTTAGCTTAGACACAAATTTTAAAGCTAAATACTGTGTTTCCATTAATGAAAAAGTTGAAAGCTTTACTTTTGTTTCTGAGAACGTATGTTTATGAGGAATTATGTTAAATTGGTCATTTGCTCGTGTAGAACCGTGACACTAGTGTGCTAGTCAGACTACGACCTGCTTGGGATGATTTGAAAAATTATTTGACTGCAAAGGGACGCAAAAGGTTTGAAGTATATGTTTGTACCATGGCGGAGAGAGATTATGCATTGGAGATGTGGAGGTTACTTGACCCTGGTGCACACCTTATCAGTTCACAGCAACTATTGGATCGTGTTGTATGTGTCAAATCAGGTTTCTACTATGGCCCATTAATTTTTTTTATTATTTCTCATTGTTCCTCTATCCACATGAGTCTCATTCCTCCATTTCTATTAACTCACTACTAAGTACCAACTTGAGGGAAGAGTTAACGAGGGATGTTTGGGATTTGGAACCGAAACTGGTTCCTAAAATTGTATGGGAAAGTCTTTTTTCCCCACTGCATTGAGATTTGACTTCTGCTTGAATAAAATTTTCACTGCTGATTGATATGTGAGTAGAAAGAAGTAAGGAAATAGATGGTGCTGGTAGATTGCCTCTTCTCTGCTGCCAATACGTTGTGCCAGCCATTGTCACTGTGATGAGTAATAATTTTGCTTACATCAACTTGGGATGAATAACGGATGGAGGGACAATGAGCTGTGTAGTGAACTAGTTGGTCAAGAAATAGTGGGGAAGATAGGGATACATGAATTTTTTAGGATGGAAAACTAGAGGGGGAGGTAGGAGTATTTAAGAAACCTAAAAACTGATTACTGATTGATTTTAATTCAAATCAATTATACCAACAAGGCAACAATCATGCTATAATAATCTACTTCCTCCGTCCCATAAAGATATTCCCGTTTTGACTTTTTGAAAAATTTAAAAGAGAGATAATTTTGTGTTGACTTTCCAAAAATACCATTGATGTGATGGGTAAAAGTAGGATGTGATGGGTAGATTATTAGTAAAAAAGTATGATGTGATAGGTAGGTTAAGAGTTAGTAGGGGTAAAAGCGGGTTTTTAATTGAAAAGGGAAGGATTTTGTGGTACAAAAAAAAGAAAGTGGAAGGAGTTTTTGGGACGGATGGAGTATTAAATCTTATTCTGATTACAAACGGTTTGTTAGCCAAGTTTTATTTTTTTTTTTGTTTTCAAGTTTTGTTAGCCAAGTTTTATTTTATTTCCAATAAATTATCTCAAAAACCATGCTATAATAATTTATTAAAACTTATTCCCATTAAAACTGTAACACCCGGACCCCACCTGCCGGAAGTGTCTGCCAAAGACTGGCTCACAAACCAACACAAATATTTCCGGTATAAGTACTATTATTTCTTTTGAGCTCTCAAAAAGATGATGCACCTTTTTGGTATAAGTACTATTATCAATTCTTTTGAGCCCTTTCCATTCCTTTTTAACCCGGGGTGTTACAAAAACTTTCAAGCTTTATTACGGAACATAATCTTTTCATTAAAAATCCACATGTTTTTGTATTAATAAAGTGAATGTCAGACATGTGTTTCCAAAAGTAATGGAAACATTAAATTCATGTGTTTGAATATTTTTTTGAATGCTATTGACTCTATTACAAGGTAATATTTGTTCATACTGCTCTCAACTTAATGGCAAACAAAGAGCCAATGCCTCCACCTCTGCTGGGGCTCAAACCTCGGTGAACTTCTCCATGAATCCTGAGAAGTGTGCTTCCTACCACTCTAGCCAGGGGAAAAGTCCTGTTTGAAAACTTTAAGAGTTCTATTTTAGTTTTTATGAACTGAAACAAAAAAATACATGTTTATACATTGAGTGAGGGTGAGCGAGTGACAGAGATAAATAGATAAAGACAATGAAGTAGAGAGACATAGAGTATTTTTAAAAACTTTAAAAATGATCAGATTGACTTTAATTTCAGTCTTTATCAGAAACAACCAGTATATTATGCTAAGGGTTTGTTTGGTAACCCTTAAAGTTTATATTTTCTATTTTAATTTTTTTGTTTCTTTTTTAATTATGAAATATCAAAAGTATAGAAGTTTGATAGAGCTACTGTATATGTTTTTATGATTTATATATTATTTACTATGGAATTAAATAATTTCATAAAAAACTACTCACTCCGTCCCACTATTTTTGGGCACGTGGAATGTTGCTTCAGTAGTAGGTCGAATGAGTCGGAAGTGGAAGTGAGGATTGATTTGCATTTAGTGCCTTAAAGGGATAAGTCCTTCATATAGACCGAGGAGGTAAATGAGAATATTGAGCAAAGTGGAAGCTTGCTTTATGGAACAGAGTTTTGTTCTAATTTATTCTTCTTTTTCTTTCAACTCTTATTTTTTTTGTTTTATTTCCAGCATCATCCTCCCTCTTTTAATTCAGTTCAAAATTTAAAGAAGTATATTGCTTTATTTTTGTGTGAAATTTCATCCATTTTTTATCTTTGAGGGTTGAAGTTGTATTTGAGTAGTTGGAACTTGGAAATTCAAGATTTTAGTCTTAAATTGTTCATCACGAGTCATAATTATCTTATTTTCAAACTATCTTGCAGCCTTCTTGTTTTAAATGAAAACCATGTATGATTTTATCACTTATTTGACATGATTATAGATTCTGCGTTTTGTTTTCCCTTGGAGTACTTAATTTAGTATTATTTTTTCAAGTTGAACTGAGTTTTACACCATGTTCCGCCTCAAGGTTTACTCCTTGTTCCGCTTTGAGGCTTACGCCTCAAGGCATTTTGCTCCACCACCTCGAGGCTAGTTTTCGCCTTTTAAAACCTTGCCACACACACACCCCCAGACTCAATATCTGAAGTAACATGTTTGGTGGATCTTATTATTCATTTTTTTACAATATCTTAGCTTCGGGTAAAAAATGGACTAAATCAAAATTGCACATTGAACTTCCCTTGCTTCTTACTTTCTATGAAATTTTGGGAAGTATATGAAGCAATGCACCAAGGGTCAAATGGAAGCGGCCCCTGATTTTACAGGGGTACGGTTGTGTACATATTGACTACCCACATCATAATGTAGTTGGGATTATACTGGGGTAGTATATCATCAGTATGTTCCTGAAAGTAATAGAAACATTAAATTCCTATTTCTGAGAATTTTAAGAACTCTATATTTGTTTTTATAAACTTAAAACATAAATGATACTGTCAAACATTTTTTCTTATTTTTTACCTCAAAAGAGTTGAAGCAAAAACAAACAATTGAACCATTACCACCAATTAGTATTTAATCCATTTTTCATTCTCACGTTCAAACAAAGCACTCACTGTGATTTCCTTTTGTTCATGTTTAGTTAGTTGTATACACATGGATCTCCCTTTTCATTTCCTTTTGAATCCACAACTGATTCACTCATGCTTTTTCCTTCATGTGATTCCCATGCTAAATTTCTCCTCCCTTATGTTCTTACTTTAACAAGAAGTATATTTAAGTATTATGGACTGTCGTCACTTAATATTTTTGTGCTACTCAGGTGCCAGGAAGTCATTGCATAATGTCTTCCAAGGTGGAATTTGCCATCCAAAATTAGCAATGGTTATTGATGATCGTATAAAAGTGTGGGAGGACAAGGATCAACCTCATGTTCATGTTGTCCCTCCCTTTACCCCATATTATGCTCCTTTGGCCGAGGTATGCATTTAATCTTTTGAGGCTGTTCTTTCATCCCACCATTATGTTTTCAAAAATTTAGGTTATTTAATCTTTTTCTGATGCAGATAGCAAATGTTATTCCAATCCTGTGCGTCGCAAGAAATGTTGCCTGTGATGTTCGAGGGCGTTTCTTTAGGTAACACATTCTCCTACGATGTTTAATCTTGTGGTTTATCAATTAATGCCCTCTGAAATTATGTATCTGCTTATTCTGTGCAAAATGTAAAAATATGTTGAGAAAGAGAAACTCTCTAACAAAAACCAAGCTTTAATAATCTGGTAATGGAGCCGGCTACATAAACCAATGAAACCTTCTTGACAGTCTTGAGTTTATCCCTCAAAATTCTCATTGACACACACCAATTCTTGTAAAGCCCCAATGTGTATCCTTTTTTACACCTTCCATCTGAGCCATTTTGGCCCATCACACTATAAAGAATACTTTTGAGTAGAAGCTGGAAGTTGCGGTGGACATGTAGTACCATGTTGGACAAAAGTTGAATATGGTCTTCCTCTTAGAGCTAAGGGTTGTGCTTATTATTGAGAAAGGGAGGGCATACTATAATGGTTTGGGCACATTCACTGTAGAGAGATGTCACCTCTGAGATCACAGATTAATAGAGTGGAGAACTTTTTGGTTGAGGTGACGAGGAACTTGCCACAAGAGAAGTGGATGAGCAGTTGATGTTGGACTTGACGGTCTTACACCTCTCTAACCTCTGCTAGGAGTTCTTGAAGACATTGCATTAGGGTTGTCATGTCCTTATAAGGGACCGTGTGTGGGAGTTCGACCCCTTAGACGTCGTTTGTTTGGTGTCACTGGGTTGATGTTAGTATGCTCATGGATTCCCTTGTTTTCTTTTATAAAAATAATCTTTTAAAAACCTTAATCCTCTTCAACTGCATGTCACTGATTGTTTGGGCCCTCTCGGAAACACCATCTTCACTCCTTGGAGTAGATAGAGATAATGTCTGCTTGCATTTTACTTCAGAGGCCTATACTCTCGAGTGAGATATATTGGGCATGTTTGTTTTTCAATGGGTACTCTAAGACTCTTCTCTCTTTACAAGGGCACATGCTTCTGAATGGTTGAAGTCGGTTTCCCCTTCATCTACAATAGGCGTTACACTCTTTCGTGAATCTCCTTGTTATGCATTTTAAATTTTTGTCTTACAATGCATCCATTATTTTACACACATCTTTGCCCACATGCATTTCTCTATTAAATCTTCATTTCCCAACAAAGAATGTCCAATAAACTTTTGCAATTCAACTTCACAACTCAACTAGTTTTTACCCCGTGCTTTGCACGGGCTCGCATATTTTTCTATAAAATATATGTATATGGTAACATAAATATTTTATGTTAACATTTTGTATGTTTGTTAAAAGCTCAATTAATATATAAACCTAATATGAATTAAAATTTTATTTTATTTTATTTTATTTATTTTTTAATAATAATATGATATGCATTATAATTTGCTTTTTTTCAATTTGGATTAGATATCTTGTAGTAGCAAGACAATTAGATACAATATTTTTTGAAGTAAAATTTGTATTTTAACAATGATTTCCCTACTCTAAAATTTATATAATTATTATTTTTGAAAGGTAATAAAAAGAAAAAATGGTGAATAGTTTGAAAGCTTAATTTTTTTTGAATTTTAAACACGTAAAAATAAATATTTATATAATACTAAGAAAATGAAAAGGTTTATGCAAAGGCATTAGCCATTGTATTCTATCAATAGATTACATGTGGCGCATAACAAATATGCATTTTAACTAATGCTTATGCAATTGTTTTAAAATAAAATTATAATTTTAATAATGACGCAAATATACTATATTTCATATAAATCTATATTTTTAAAATGGAAGAAAAAGGAAATGGTGTAAAAATTTATACAAAGAGTTGTCTTTTAAAAACTTTAATAAATTTTATATAACCTTTAAAAAAGTAATTAATTAATTATAAGATATTAAAATATATTTTCAATTGTTGAAGGACATATTAATATAATAATTAGAATATGAAAAGTTTTATATATACAAATTTATGGTAATTAAATGCAATAATCATGAATATTTTTTAAATAAAAAATAAACTAATAAATGCCATGTGGACCAATAAAATGATGACACTATGCCATGTCATACGCCACATGTCTCCACTACAAGTAATGAACTCTCTTGGGATCTAATGATTATGATTTCTAGCTCTTTGTCTTAAATTTAGGTTGTCATACATGTACATGCTACAAGTTTTAAATATTAGCTGCTATGTTAAGATCTTACGATCCGATTTACGATCCTCTAACCCCTTACAGATCCTAGCTAGGATCTTGAGTTTAACCACGTTGCATGTTCATAATGCTCACCTTTTTCTGTATTAACCAGGGAGTTTGATGAAGACCTATTACGACAAATTTCTGAAATATTCTATGAGGATGAGGTGGTAAAGCTTCCTAGTGCACCTGATGTATGCAATTACTTGATAACTGAGGTATTTACTATTTGGACTTGATAAGTTTAGTCGGTCATTGAAAGTGGAAGGTTAATTTTGATACGTGAGTACACACAACACCTTACAGAATACTGGTGTTTCGTCTAATGGCAATGTTCCAATCGTTGAAGGAATACATGACCCTGAAGTTGCTCAAAGATTGAATCAGCAGGCACGACATTATTCTCGTTTTAAAAATATTTTAATGACGACCATCATTTTGGCTTGAGTTCGTTTCAGTTACTTGTTTGCTCGAACAGCATTGAAGATCTAATCGTTTTTATCATGGCTTTGCTTTATCTAGGATGTGTTGAATAATGAATATCATGTTACACTTACCGTTCTGAGTAACCCAGAGCTCAAATCTGAAAGCTCTCAGTCTCTACTAGGATCTCCTCCAAATGTATCTTCCACATCTTGTAGAGCAGGTTTACCTTCAGAAAGTATGTGCAGTAATATCGACATATAATCTGTACCATAACATAATTATTTGAAAGACATTATGAATTTTTTATGCTTCCTAACCATTCATTATTTTTGATCTCCTATACAGAGCCTAGTTTGCTTGGATCCCCGCTTGGATGGGATAAAAGCTTTTCTGAAGCAGACCCCAATGGTAGGAAAAAGTTGCCCATATTGAACCATAGCCAAGATGTCAGGTTTCGGGGTTCAGTGGAGCCACCTCTTTTATCTAGAGTGCCTCAGAAAATACCTGGACTTCCCTTGCAATTGCAGGGCCCCTTGTCTGTAGATTGTGAAGCAATCAGTGGACATTTTGGCAATCGAACACCAGAAGGTATTCAAGGTAGTGATGCATTCAGACCTGATAAACTACAAAGTCGTCAGTCTCTGGCATCATATTCATTTACAACAAAGAGTGAAGAGGTATACAAACTTATCTCCATAAACTCGTTGTCGATGTGGAATTTGTTTTTCTCTTGCGACAATTTTTATCTGAATCTCGATCTATGCATGTGCAGGCAATTACAAAGATGGGAATGCATGAGCAGAGTAATCCCAACCTTAGACTTGTTCAGTTTTTAGATTTTTTTTCTTTTTTATTCACATTTGCTGTTTCTTATTGTCTTCTGATGGAATCATTTTTATTTCTTTGCTTAGAGACCGGTATCTCTCCAAACCAGATGTCTTCCATTAAAAGGGAGCCTCAACTAGAAGCAGGAAATACAAGCGTCTTACCATCTCTGACCATTGGAGTGCTGCATGAAATTGGAAGAAGATGCAGCTCAAAGGTATATTCTGCACATTTGTACAAAGGAAGATCACAGATTTTAAAAGATTCGTGATTTTTTGTTTGTTTTTTAGTTTATTTTATTTTTCCCGCCGTGAATGGCTATAATATGACCATTTGCTCTGTGCAGATTGAATTTAGGCCTATTGTCAGTGCCAGTGATGAACTGCAGTTTTCTGTTGAGGTTAGTTAGTGCACTTATGATGTTGTTCATTAGTGCAGAGGATTATGTGTAAAAAGTAAACAAATAAGGGCATGTCTACTAACTGTAGAAGTTTTCTATTTTCTAGAAACAAAAAACAGAAAACGTGTTTACTGTCTTTTCCAAATTCAGTAAAAAAAACTGTTCTCCAATTTTTATGCCCCCCTCAAAAATATGGATTTTTTTACGTTTTCATTTCTATGTTAAAACTAATCACCGATGATAATTATAATTAGTAATATTTTATACATGTTTTCATTTCCTACTCCATATGTTGTTTACAATTAGTAACCTCCACTCTCATCGCCGGTGACTCCACCCCATCCACACACACCCACACATTACACATGCAAATACCTTAATCTCTACCGCCAACACCTATCAACATCACTGCTAGTAACAATCAATACCCCTCTTAATTATTTCCTTGCAACGAGACTATCATAGTGACCTCAACAATTGATACCACTTATGAACACTGCCACCTATCTCAATCATCCCAGGAAATCCCACGATTAGTGACCACTAGTGTTGGCAACCACTTGTCACTGCCATTGCCCTCGACTAGTGTTGACGGTTGACCATTGTTGTGGTTGGTCATCATGACTGCAACCACTTTGGACATCACTGGCTATCATTGACGTGATTGACCACCACTTCCGACCAAGTTGTTGCCATTGACTGCCATCATCAATCGCCGCTGCTATCGATCACTGCTCCTGCCGATTATTGCTACAATCACCATAAGTAGTACCCCACATGCGTTATTTAAACATATATGTGTTGGTGTGTTTGTGGGATTTTACTGGGTTTGTTGTTGATGTGTGTGTGTGTAATTTTTTTTGTATTCTATATCATTTTTCAAATAAATTAAATTGAAAATAATGACAACACATAGTGCGTTACAACACTTCTACAACATTGATATCTCTCACTAGGATTGGTTTTATATGAAACCCACTACAGCATTGAAAGATATTGACTTCGATATATCAGTACCACATTCAGTATTCCAATTTAAAAGGATATAGATGATTATGACAGGGATATGTTATGCATTGGTTGTGCCCGAATGCATCTATATTCACCTCTGTTCTCTACTTGAAAGTGGTGTAATAGTTTTATACTTTCTTTTTACTTACAAAATACTCCTTGCGTCTGAAATTCATTGTCTACTTTCATATAAGTCTCCTTTTTAGAAATGAGTTTTAAAATGTCAAATAAGTCTTTTGAATGAGATTGTCACTCATTCATGCCAACATTGCTCATACCTCATATTTAGGCTACTTTAGACAATTTATTATAATACCTTTATTGAATATGGAAAGTGTCCCTCAAAAAAGAATATGGAAAGTGGACACAACTAATTCCTGACAAACAAAAACAAGAAATTGGACAACTAAATTCGGACAGAATGAAAAGTTATTTTTTTATTTCCAATTAGAGATGCAAAGATAATATCTGTAGCTGGAAACTGTATATCTTCATCAAATGTTCTAGGTACTCTTTGCTGGTGAGAAAATGGGTATTGGTATGGGTAAAACCAGGAAGGACGCTCAGCAGCAGGCAGCTGAATATGCCCTGCATAGCTTGGCTCGTAAGTTCATTTTCCTCCATACAAGTAGTTATCTATACTCCATCCGTCCCCGAATAAAATACACACCTCCCTTTTTCATCTTTCCCAAAATAAACTTCCCGCTTCTTTTCTTTTCTTAAAAGGAAATGAATGAGTGGACTACTTGCTAATCTTTCTCTCTCCTCTCAACAAATTCTATCCACACAGTGTTAACATTTCAACAATTTTCTTAAACTCCGTGAAGTCAAACTATGACTTTTATTTACACTATGTTTGGTTCAAGGAATTTGAAAGGGGAAAAAAATGAAAATGAAGTGGAAAACAGTTTTTCTTGTTTGGTTAGAGAGGAAAAAAAGGAAAAGTGGAAGGAAAAGAAAAATATGAAGGCAAAATGTACTAAGAGGAGGGAAAACCCAATTCCTCCAATTCTGGTGAATAAAATGAGAGAAAATCATTTTCTTTTCTTTTCCTTCCAAATTCCTTGGAGCAAACATAGTGTTAGGGACGGAGGGAGTATATAGCTCTATCATATGTTGAGCCACTGTTATTTCTACAGGGATAAGGAAAATTAGTTAAAGCATAAACATACACACATAGACACACTCACATCTGTTAATAAGTATGATTTGGTGAATGGGTTTCATGGAATTTTGATGTTACTTATCTTATTATAAATAAGAGATTAGAGAATCTTTTACTCAGCAAACTGTAATATTAGTTTACTTTGAACTACAGAGATATATGTCTCCCATGTTGAATCACATAATGGAGTGGCAGATAAAGATATAGGTAGGATTTCTTCTGGAAATGAAAATGGATTTTTATGGGAATCAGTCAGTCCTAGAGATGGAAAGCAAGAGGAGGGTACATTGTTCAAAGATAAAATCTATGAGGCTGGGCTTCATGCTGACACTACTCTTGATCATTGACATGGATGCATGGAGTAATGATTTGTTTATTGGATATAAGATCAATGAGTTTTGGAATTTTGTCACATCATAGTAGATGGCAAAATATGTCCATGGGGAAAACGTCGAATGAGGTGGCATTCTTGTCTGCTGATGTGAATCTCGCTATATGCTTCATATTTCGTGATTGGAGGTAAGGTCATTGCTCATTTTCCAGTAGTAGCACATACACACCCTTTGTCCAAGAATTCTTACAATGTTCACACCCACACCGGTGCATCACCTTTTGAACAACTTGTGAGTGTAATTACAGGTGAATATGAATTTTTGTACCCTTAGTGGACCCTCTTTGTCAAGTACAGCAGCTTACTCTTGAGAGAGACAATACTCCACTTCTTGTACACAACATTGTTAGCACAAGGCGTCCTCGACTTCGCCAACTTACCATGCATCTTAACTGAAGGTTTAATCCATTCATGAGATTGCAGTCGTGAATGGATTTGTCAAAAGTAATGCTGCTGCTTCTGCATTGTCCATAAGGTTTAACCGTCCTTACCATAACCATGAATGCTTCACCTCATAAATAGTTAGTGGCTTGAAGTGGGGGATGGTTTACCACAATATTTTGGATTTGTCACCTTGGTTTGATATCAACTTAGTAAATACCTGAATATGGGCGGTTTTTATTGTGCCCTCATTGTAACCTTATTATTTGTCATATAATCTAATCAACCCTTAATTAGGAAACATTGATACAGCGAGGGGAAGTACCCTACACCACCTGGTTAATACTCTAGCTAGGTACTGTGGTGTGTGTGTGTGCGCGCGTGCGCTCCATGAGAAGCATTCATGAACTAAATGTGAGAATGAGAATGTTTATAGTACATAAAATTCAACATCAAAGATTTAAGATCGGTGGAAAACTACACAAAAACTTAACAAATATAGTACTCCGTAGCATTTTGGTAAATAAGGTCTATTTTTGTTGTCACAAAATCTGTATTTGTAAATGTGTATTGCGATCCAAAAATGCTTCACTTCTATTTTTCTGGTCAAGAGCATCATTTTCATTGGAATTACACCCTTTTTTCTTGTGTGTGCGCGTGTGAATTGAATATTCATAAATTATAAACAAGTTTTCTGTAAGACGGATGGAGGATATATTTTATTTAAAGTTCAAAAAAAAAATTAAAGTAATGGTGTTTGACAATATTTAGTGTAGGATACACATTAAAAATTAATAGTAGGAACAAATGTTGTTGTTTATATACATATGATGTCATCACTAATTTGCTTACTTGAATGATGTAAAATTTGCTTGTTGATATTATGTGAATCAGTGCAACCTTATTAGGATTCACATTTGAGAAACTTTGGGTTATGAATCCTTTATTAGCTATTTACCTAGATAACCTAGATTGACTACTACGATTATTGCTATTCGCCAAATTTCACTTTATAATTTTAGTTATGAACGTCAATCTTGAAGACAATTATTGTTCAGAATGACAAATAGTAAAGCGTACATTGTGAACCAACATTCCTTACTAAGGCCCCGTTCCGTTCAACTTATTTTTCCTGCTTTTTTCTTAATCTTATTAAAATCAAATCAGATCAGATCAGAACCAATCAGATAAGATCCAATCAGATCAGATCATATCCCATCAGATCAGATCAGATCCAATCAAGAATTATTATTATTATTATTATTATTATTATTATTATTATTATTATTATTATTATTATTATTATTATTATTATTATTATTATTATCATTATCAATATCTTTATTACTCCATACTTTTTAAATTCCATACTTTTTACTTGTTTCACTTGATAGGATTCTTTCAAAAAATAAATTTAATTTCTCTTTAAAAAGTATAAGAAGAAAGAAAATGAAACTTTTTGTGCGATTATAATTTATGTAGACTAAAATAAAATAATATGAAGCACAATTGTTTTCATAAAAATGAAAAATAATAAACTTTAGAAACAAGTTAAATACAAAACCGAGAAAGTAATCTTGAATTATTAGACGTCGGAAAGCACACGCTGAATTAAATTTTTGAAAAAACTAAATTAAGAATAATAAATGGAGAAAATATTCAAGTAGAATTCAAATTAAACAAATAAAAGAAACATGTGAAATCAGATCTTGTAGAATTATTCAAGTAGAATTCAAATTCAAATTAAGGAAATAAACATTTCTAAGAGAGAGTGGAGTTTGAAGGTCAAGCAAATTTAATTTAACCTAACCCATCTATCACTATAAGAGGGTGTTTGTGACTGATTAACTTGTGGATAAAGTGATTTCCACAAAAGCCGAAAGCAAAAGCATCTAATACCTGCTTCTCCGAAATGATGTTCTATGTACAAAATAGTGATGGTGAAAAGCAGAAGTTGACTAGTCAAAAAGAGTAAAATCACTTGGACTCAAAGCAAAAGTTAAATTATTAAAAACATCTCACTCCCAAACAGCCTCTAAATCAATTTTTTCCCAGCGGCTTCTTCCCACTGTTTCTTTCCCGTTGCATCTTCCCAGCGCACTTCTTCCTCTGGTGTCTTCTAAATTTTTCCCAGCGGCATCTTCCCAGCGCACTTCTCCTCTGCTCCAAGGTAAAACTTAAAATTTTGTTTCTTATTTTGGTTGGTGTTATCCATGTTTAACTTCCGGGGCTCGAGATTGATCAATTTTCTTGATTATAGTGAATCTTTCTCTGCTCGGATTTCTTGATTATAGTGAATTTTTTTATTTTGGTTGCTCTTATTCTGTTTCGAAATCAGATCAAATAATTTCCATTTTATGCTGTTATTCTGTTCTGTATGCTATTTTATGCTGTTATTTTGTTTCACCTGCCACGGATAAGTTGTTGATGTCAGTCACAGGACAAGGTGTCGAAGAAATCAACCTTTGTTTTGTTAATGGTAAATATAAGCTTCCAGATTGCACAAATCAGATCACTAATGACACCTCCATCTTTATTGTACAAATTTTCATTTCATATTTTGAAGCTTCAATAGTGTAGTTGTTTAAATGGGTTATAAATTTCAACTTCAACCTATCCTTTAAGTAAAATTGGTAAACAACTTACCACCAGACATATTAAAAAGAAAAATTTTGAAACTAAAACAATATAGGCATGTTGAGTTAATTGCTGCTAAATATGAATGTGGGGTTCCAGTGGGTTGTAGTTGGTGCTATATATTGTCATGTTTACTGTGTTCTTATAAATTCAATGATGAATTTTTTTGTGTTTTCCTGTTTCAATGCAAATAGTCAGTAGTGCATATCCACATGCACAAAAGGAAGAAAATAAATATGAAAAAACTTTACTTGTTTTGACTTGATTAAACTAATGTTAACATGCTTCACCTCATTCATTTTTTAAGGTAATTTAAAATCATACTTCACCTCATTCATTTTTTTATTATATCATATTAACTTCTTTTTTTTTTTGTAAATAACAGAAATACAAAGAAATACCCTCTAGATTCTCAAAGCAACCTCTACCCCATTTGCCATTGCTCTGGGCTGTTTTTAATGGAACCTTCGCAAGTAGTAAACATAGTTGTTCCCGTGGATGTGGGGGTGAGGATTCGTTGTTTGAAAAACCTATTGGAAAATACCACAGAAGGAATTGGTGACAGTGATGATTTGAATGAAACTGAACTTGATGGAGAAAATTTAGACGATAGTGATAGTGAAGAGAGCAAAAGTCCTCCCAAAACCATGTCAAAGGGGAAAAGAAAAAGCTTACAGAGTTCAGGCAATTTCAAAAGAAAGAAAGATGCTTTTGAGAGTTGTTTAGAGATTCTAAAGATGTCTTAGAAGAAATATATATATATATATATATATATATATATATATATATATATATATATATATATATATATATATATATATATATATATATAAGTTGGAAGACACAACCTTAGAAGGACTCGCAGACTCCCGCAATGCACCAACAGAATCTGATAAACATGCTTGGCGTGAATCTCAATTAGGAAAAGTCCAAACACAATTTATCTGCCAACCACATTTGTCTTATCCCGAACAAAAATAAGTCATTGTCTAGTAATTCAAATAAAAGTACAAAATAAATTTTTTTCCAAATAAGTGCTTTAACCATAAAAGTGTTACATTCATTACTTTGTAAATTATTAATATTTTTTTAAATGAATTTTTACCTTAGGAAATTTTGGGTTGAAATTTCTTTAAGGGAAGTAGAAATGTAACACCCCAAAACATGATCTAAAAGTTATTATATGATAAATGTATTTTTAAAATGAAACTATATTTTAGTCCAATAATGTAATATTCTCATGTTTGACCAAAAATGAAGCAGTTTTTCAAGATAATGATCTTTTGCTAAAACTAAGGTTTATGGGTATGTCTTTAAAAGACGAATCCAACAATATATTTTATGAATAAATTCAATTTACAGATTTTGAGTTGTGACAATTTTAGTATATTAAAATATGTAACTTGGACAAATTCAAGAAGTGATTTATAATGTGAACTCTTGAACAATGATTTATTGGAATAAATAAGTAGATTGGATAAAAATAATTGAATATAAGAATCTTTTTAAATATGTATCAATGAAACCAATTTTGACTCTATTAAACTTAAACATCCAAAAATATGATGCCAGAAAAAATATTCATATGATTTTGACTCTATTAAACTCAAACTCTATTGATATGATTCTTTCAAAAAATAAATTTAATTTCTCTTGAAAAAATATAAGAAGAAAGATTATTTTTAATTATTAGATGTCGGAAAATTATTTTTAAAATACATTGACAATGTCTATAACACCCCGGCTCCACTCTAGCCGTAAGTGTCCGCTCATAGGATTGTAGATTGGCCCCACGAACCAACACAAGTCTTTCCCGCGCACTTTGTCCTCACTCATGCACAAGAAAACTTCCCAGGGATCACCCATCCTAAAATTGCTCCAGGTCAAGCATGCTTAACTTTGAAGTTTTTAGGTGATGAGCTCTCAAAAAGAAGATTCACCTTGTTGGTATGAGTAGTATTATCAATCCTTTTGAGCTTTTCCCATTCTCATCTTATTATAGGGTATTACAATGTCAATCTAATTCTACTTTTAAAATACATTTTTATTGCTACTTGTAATTTGAGTTTCTAAAGTTTTGATCTTTTACTACATCGAGTTGATCAACTTTGATCATGACTTAAATAAAACTAACATTTGATATTCATATACGGAGTATATTTTAGTGTAACTGAAATAACCATTATATTGATGGTGTTATATTAATCATAAAAAAAGTTTCATAGTACAAAGCACAAGCTAAATAGATCAAATCAGATTCAATCAGATCAGATCAGATCCAATCAGATTAGATTAGTTTGGATCCAATCAGATCAGATCAGATTCAATCAAACTAGATCAGATCAGGTCCAATTAGATCAGATCAATTCAGAACTACAAAAAATCAGATGAGATCAGAAAAAAATAAGTTGTATGGAACAGAGCCTAATCCCTTAAGCTTATAGGCCATGTCATTCATATTTCGTAGTCACCATCTTCAGAATAAGAGGACTAACATGTGCCTTAGAAGTTGTTTTGAATTGTTCCTCTACGGAAGCCAAATATATTTTAACATTTTATGAATCTAGAATAGTTCCCCTGATGTGCTGATGGAA